CAGGGTGGGCACAGGTCAGGGGAGTGGGAGAGGATGAGAGAGATGAAGGGCGGGGGATTGGTTTCTGTTACTATGGTTAAGAGCACTGATTTCATTGGTGAAGCTTAATAAAGTCCAGTAAACACATTTTGTTTATGCACAGAGATTCTCAGCAAAGCTGCTCTCACCGGATTTCAGGAATCAAGGCCAAATTAATGGCCATCTTCTCTTGACCTGAATCAGAGGAGGTACAAACAACTCAACTGACGAGAGAAAAATCCCTCTAGATATCCAATGACTTCTGTTTTAAAGAGGCAATGCTAAACAAAAACATGGAAACACACATTCCATATTGCTTATATTGCTACATAACATTTTTGTGGCTTTTATAAATGTTGTTAATTTTTTGTTAATAGATTAGATTTAATAGATGTTTATTTATTTATTTATTTATTTGTTTGTTTTATAGATTTTGTTAATTGTTTGCGACTTTCCCATGGATTTGCATGATTGTTATAATCACTTATATTCACATTTTTATGATTTGTTGTAGTTTTTACTGATTTTTATAAATTTGCTGTGCTTTTTCCATGAACAAAATATCCTTGGCTGATCACAAATTTCGTGACAATATTAAATTACAATTATTATATAGGAAAAAAAAAATTAATAAAAATATATTTATTTTTGGAAATTCACAAATTTTCTATACACATGAAAAACCTACAATCTAAACCCCTTTCTGAACAGTGAATTTGCACTTACATGAAGTGGGGACTAAGAATATATGGAATATAAATTATTAAATTAAAATAATCTCTGTTTTCATCAGAAAATATATTGCTTCTCAAAAACAACATCCTTCTCTCTGAGAAATGCAGTTGTCAGGGTTGAGTGTGGGAGTAGGCTAATATGGGCAGGGAAGGTATTAGTGGGGTCATAGCCTTATGTGGTCCACATTAAGGGAGTCAGACTTCACACCAGGTACAGACAAAAAAAAGCAGGTGGTCACAGCTCAGCGACTCACATATGTATCCGTACACAGAGCCGGTGTCAGCTATTTTGCTTTGGTTGTCGATAAAGAATGACAGCAAGAAGGACCGAGGAATACTTATACGTGTTTACTGTCCGTGATGACTATGCATTTATGTTGTTTGGAAATGAGAAACCATCACTAACATACAAAACGGCTTAATCCAAAGATAAAAAATGGCCCGGCCAGAGAAGAAATCGGAATGTCATGCAGAAATATGAATTTAATTAACCCTGAAATATGACTGAGACGTAAAAACCCATTACATTTGATCGGCTTTGGTCCCGTCCTTGTTGAAAAAGGATTTGCGATGTTACAAAGAATGATTTGCTAAGTCTGACCAGGGAAAAACTGTTCCACATTCTACAATGAAACACACTAAGATGTTTGATTCCCTTTATGCTTGTATAAGGCGGCCGAGATTTGGCCTGAAAACAGCCAAAAGTGACATTTTAATTACCAGCCTGCTGAGGTGCAGCTTAGTGAATGAGAGAGAGAGAGAGAGAGAGAGAGCGGACACACTAAGACCTGCTTTCGAGGGTTAAGACACAGCTTACGCCCTTGGCTGCGTGGGGACTTAACACCAGACGCTCCTGAAGAGCATTTGCCTCATCTATCAGAACAAGACGGCAGCGGTTAGAAGAGGATGATGGGGGGAGGGAGAGAGTGATGGAGGACAGGAGGAATATGGATAGACGAAGACCGATCCAGAATGAGTCTTCAGATCTATGCCACACTGCCCCCAGTGGACTTGAGCGCGAGAGAGGAAAGCTGAATAATGTGTAATGAGACACTCTATAATGTCGAGACCTGCAACAGAGTATTGGAAGCATATATTAAAAGAGCTTTTTTATGATGTTTTGCCGAAATGCCATGAAAAACACTGATTTCCCTTCTGGCACGGGCAGTGACAGGAAACAAATATTGAAAAGAGCAGCATTTTTTTTTTAATCTGAGGGACGGACAGAACAAAAGCAGACCAATTCAAGAAAATCAGTATTTATGTCTTGTTTTCCAGTGTTTGCATGTATACAGTCACCCTTCAAACAATGTAAATGGATGGAGAAGCTACATTTCATGAAATAAGATGTGTTTGTCAAGAAACAAATAGTTGTTTCTTGTTTTAAACATTAATGTAATAACATTTTATGAGGTTTATGATAAAAAAAGAGAAAATGACAATGAAGTAAGAAAGAAAGAAAGAAAGAAATCTGATTTCCCTTTTGATACGGGAAGTGACCGGAAAGAAAAGCAACAACGGACAGATGCAAAAAAATCAGTATTTTTGTCTTGTTTTTCAAAATATCCAAACATCCTTCGAACAATTTAAAAGCTTGGAGAAGCATAATTTCATGAGATAATAAAACTTGTTTTCAGAAAATATATCTAGAATTAAGTTTAATTGCTTTTCTTAACCCACTGGCAAATGTTTTTTTTCTTGTTTTAAGCATCAATGTAATAACATTTAATGAGGTTTATGATTTAAACAAGAAAAATGTGGGTTGAGATAAATAAACCTAATTCTCCCAAGTCATATGGTCTCACGCAATTTAGATTTGTAAGTAATTTATAGTTGTTCTAAGGATTTTTGCATATTTTTAATGAGAAATAAGTCAAGAATGCTGGTGAAAAAGAAAAAAAAATATTGTGATGAAAAGTCCTTTTTTTAAAGAAATTTAATGAAAATTTAATTCATATAAATATATATGATATCCCTTCTGACACTGGCAGTGACAGGAAACAGATACAGCGAGAAGCAACATTTTTATCCGAGGGATGTATGAGAAAGCAGAAATGGAACAAAAGTGGACAGATTGACAAAGATAGAGAAAATGCTGCCCTTCAGAAAAATGAACAAACTATGACTAAGAGAGTGAGAAAGGGGGAGAAAATGCCCAAAAAAAAGAAAGAAAGAGAAGGAGAGGGAGAGACAAGCTCTTGGACAGAAGGTTTGCCTATGGTGTGACAGCTTTCTGTGCCGCACAAGGGTGAGCTTCTGTTCGAATGTGTGCCATCAGTTAGGGCTTGTCACCAGGTGTGTGTGCGTGTGTGAGCGCGAGTAAGAGTGAGAGTGCCCTACATATACCCTCAACTCTTGACAAAAACTCAATACAGTCTTTCTAAGCTCCCAGCGCAGCTATTGGACTTTTTGTCAACCTTTCTTTCTCTCTCACACACACACACACACACAAGCTTCTCCTCATCCTTCTTTTTTTTCCTCTATATAAAAGACTTGTTTTTCTCCAGGACTTTTTCTTATATATTTATTTCTGCTGACACTGGTTGGCTCCATAAACAGCAATAATGTGTAAAACACAATTTAGCTTTGGGGGAACCTGCCATCCCCAGGGGCAGAGCGGGCCGACAGGAGCGCCTGTTGTTATCTCATGTTTACCTGCCTGTTCTGCTTTCATTTTTTTTTATTACCACAACACCTTGCTCAACTCAACTGCACAGCAAAGCAAAACAAGGAGACTTTGTCTGGTGCGTGATGCTTTCTGTGCGCTGAGAGCTTTAAAGAGTTAGATGGGAAGGAGATGAGACAGACTGTCTGACTGCATTTCTGTTGGAAACAACTGTGTATTGTTAGCATACTGTATGAACATCTCCATAATTATTATCTTTTTAATGACGATTTAAAAGGCTAATGAGCTCTTAATGTATAATTATTTCAGTTTATCATAATATAACATAGTAAATACATTTGATGCATGGACAGTTTGTTAACTTTTTTTAGAATAGCATATATGACAATCTTCAGTGTTTTCGTGAAAGATATCATCAAATGATCTTAAAAAAAATCAGTTCATAAATAAATAAACCATCCACAGTGGACAAAATACCCTATTTGCTGGACACATAGCTAATACTGCTATAAAACTAGATCATAAAGCTGACAGCCTCCCGAGGCATGATCTACTAAACAAGAAACAGAGCGCCCCATGCTTTACTCTCACTGTCACCGTCAAAGTAGTTTCACACTCTCCCACCGAGAGCGTGCGACTGGGTTTATGTGTGTGAAGTTATATGTTAGCATTGTGGGTTACGTGAACATGCTGCTCTTGCCATCAGATCGTGAGCGAGGGGTACAGTATTTGCAACAGTTTAATGAGATTCAGAGTGAGGAAACAAGTTGAGTGATAAGCAGGTCATTAAGTTTGCTCTGCCAACTCTGCTCGGCTTTGATTTGCGTACGCTGTGTGATAACCGTGAAGGGGGAAAAGAGACTTTGAGGGAGGGAAGAGACAGCTTAGGAAGTGCAGAACGAGCTGTACTTCGTGAGCTAAAACTCTGTAGCGTAAGACAATTCAATTAAAGTCTGAGGACTTTGTTTCTGATGAACCCAAACAAAGCAGCCAGTGCCGGTGGTTTCCAGCACGAGGAGCTTCAAATGAAGTCCCGAGGCTTTCAGATTTATTTGAACTTCCCTTTCTGGGTCACCAGTCGCTGCAGAGGAGGACAATCAACTCAATCTATTTAGCTCTGCCGAGTCGCTGCCTCCCCTTTCAGCTGCTCACGGAGGGAGCGTATGAGTGAGCCGGTGACCCCTCTGAGGGTCTCCGCTGCAGCCTCTGATTCAATCCAATTGTTTTTCAAAGACAACCACCTGGCAGCAAGCAGCGGAAACATCCGTCAGCCGATACTAAGCCCGACTCTTTACAGACTCAGAGGCTGTCTAAGAACAACCGTGTGTTGTGTTCGCTCATCGGTGCGCGGGATGAACATCCATTGACGTGCTTCGGTCAAGAGCCTGACCTTGCTAAGCTTCCTTTTAAAGTTCAAGATCTTGGGGTTCGGTGAAACTCATAGGACAGACAAACAAGATGCCATGCAACTACTTCAGACTGTTTGACACAAACTCAAGGCATCACAGCCGAAACCTCAGAGACTCCCTCGCAGCCTCGGAGTTCAACTCCCAGAGATTCCCTGCTCGCACATACTGACACAGGACACAACACAGCGGAGACGAGGAGACCAGGCAGCTTACCGTGACCTGTCAGCCACAAGATCAGAAAGACCTCCGGGATCATGTCGGCACTTTGCAGGGGTGGTGACCTCTCGGGCACCAAGGAGAAGAAGTTCACGCACACACCGACCTACGACTCTTCTGGTTGGCTGCTATTGTCAGTCCCCCGATGTGCCCTCTTAATAAAGAGAGGCTCTCAGTCAATCTCTTTCTTCTAGTGTCCTCCTCTCAGTGTGCTGTGATAGCAATCTGCTGTGTTGTCCTACGGTAACTGAAGTGACTCTGGTCTGAAGATGCGTGTGGAGGCGCTCTCATAAACTCAGAATACTCGTGCTCTCTCTCACTCTTGCTCTCACACACTGCTCTTCCATTCTCTGGCTCACAGAGTCAGTCTGCCTCTCTCTCTTTCTCACTCCTCCCCACCCCTCCCTCCTCTTCTCTCACTCTTTCTCTCAGTGGAGGATCAGGGGAAGGTGGGGGCCGGCTGCTCTCAAGGCCCGCCCACCTGATCAAGCGTAGCAGCACTGTTGTAACAAGAGGCTGGGAATTAGACCTAATGTTTGGGAACTGGGACAGTTGAGAAAGAAAGAAAGAAAGAAAGAAAGGCATAGCCAATGTTATGCATACTGCATACAAAAATTGCAAACCTCCTCATAAACTGGAAAACTCTGATCTGATTGGGTGGGTTGAGTGGGTTTAGGTTCTTAGGTTACTGCTCTCTCTCTCTCTCTCTCTCTCTCTCTCTCTGAAAGGATAGAAACTTTGTTTAAGATTATGTGTCTTCACACATTTATGTTTATTTCAACTGTATTTTTTGTACAGCATCACAGACACTGTTGTTTGCATAGTAGTATGTAGTGGTCATAGTAGTTATCAGGGTAATGCTAATAACTGGTTGACTGCCCAAATCAAAAGATCTGACCCTTATGCACCTACAATGGTCTGATACTGAGATATGGCTTTTGTTTTTTGTTATACAGTTGCTAATGTTTTTTTAGTG